ACTTTCTGCAATATCCCAATTATCTATAAATAATAATGAAAAAATTAATTTTGAATTAATATCATAACATTAACATTCTTCAAATCAAACAAAATGTTTCTCCTTAAGTTTTAAAAGTACGTAATGAAAATCTTTAGTATACTTAGAACTATATCATAATGATAATTTTACTTAAATCAACTAATGAGTTATTCATTAGCTAAGTTTACATAGCTCGATAGTAAATGAAGTGATGAGAACTAAGAAGTGGGTACAAGTGACATTTTTTTTTTCAAAAACAAGTTTTTGATTATACAATATTTGTCAATGAATTCTATTGTTTTACAATTTTTGAAAGAGAAATGAACATCACTCGCCAGAACACTTGCAAAATAGAATTTAAATTTTGCTCTCCTGTTCAAATTTGTTTAAAAATAACTTATATTTGATTGATTTTAATCACTTCAAATAGTCTAATTTAATAAAAGTAGTGTATGGTTGGTGATTACCTTTATAGACATCTTCTAAACAAAGCATTTCATCTAATCCTTTTGTCAAGTTTTTCAAAAAACTAAAATAAAAGAATTTGTTTGTTATAAAATTAATTTACTGCTGCAAAAAAATTAAAGTAAAAGGCATAAATTAATTACCTGTCTTCTGATGTACCTTGTTCTTCAGTTTCACCATTTTCCATGGATAATGTATTCTGTAATTAACATAATTAAGTTTCCAAGTAAGTCGTAAGGTCATTTAATATTACCCGAAATTATAAGACGTGTGACCAAAGACTTTGAGAAACCAAACTGACAAAGGACGAAAGACACCCTATGTTCGGACATAACCATATGTGATTTTGTTTTTTAGATTTACCAAATTTGTTACCTAATTTATTTATGTATTTTATTATTTAAGTATTTACCAAGGTTTTTTTTTAATATTTTTATATTATTTGGACTATTGATAATTGGCATTTTATATTCGGACTTGATCTTTATTATCTAATTTCAATCGTATACACTATACACGTAAAATTCATAATAAATTACATTATATTATAGTATATACCTATCATATAAGTATATGTTATAATTTAATATTATTTGGTATAAAATAATAATAATTTTATTAAAATTTCCCTCAAATTGTTTATATTACTATTTAAATAAAACATTATTTTTACTTTTTACCTAAATTAGTTAACGATTTCAGAATTTGGCTGTCAAGTATAAATTAGTTTTACCACATCTTACATATGTATTCTGTAGTTAAAGAATACAGGTAGGAGCTTATAAGCTTTGTCTTCAATCTTGTCTTTTAGAAGATATATTATTAACAAAATTTGGTACCTAAAGGATATATTAGAGCAAGATAACGGAACATATGACACTTGTAGTTTAAATACCTTACATGAATAACTAGAACAAAACACATATTTCATTTTCAAGTTTCCACATAAATCAATATATACATTATAAGGTTATAGTCCAAAGTGAACCTTTTGCCAGATAAAGACTCGTGAAGAGAAAAAAATTGTTGTACGGCCCCTTTTGCATGGGATAATAGGTAGATAATACGAATATGGCATAATATAAAATTACTGTAAACTAGATTTAACAATTCTGTTGTATTAATAAAAATGATCAAACTTGGGTCGTAATCGTATAAACGTCATACTCAATAAATATATAATGTAATTTAATAAAAACTTGCTTTTATGTTGGTGAGATTATCAAATCAGACTGATCGGTATTAAAATACCTTGCAAGACTGAATGTTATTTATAATCAATTAGTAGGTTTTTAAAATAATTATTATTCACTTAATATTTTACAGAAATTAGTTTATATTAAGCTACTCTGGGTATATATTTTTATTATATAAACCAAACTAAACAATATGAATTTGTTCTGAAATAGTTATTCATATGATTTAAAAATATGATACAATTTTTGGTCAATATAAATTTGCAAATTTACAATTATCTCTTGATTTGAAAATGTCCTTGTTTGTTAGAAGATTGCATAGCCCATATTTTATTAATCTATGTACTTATTCATTTAATATGGCCATTTACTTAGTGAATAGTTAAATTAATAATTTATGAATAATTACACCAGAAATCGCATAATATGACAATTGATACACATTAATGCGAGCGTATCAAGTACTCATCACATAAATGTTGATCTACCCTTGGTATGGTACAAAGATCTTAATTAAATAACTGCAAAACTTCTTTAAACGATTGTACTGTTCCATCCTTTATAAATTAGGTATGGTACCCTCGTGTTTAATATATATTTTTCTGTTCTAGGAACTTGCTTTCTGTTGTAGTTAAATAATTTTTGGATTAAGTCCTGCCGTTTTACGGTGGAAAATATTGACATAAAGCTTTTTTTTAATTATTTTAATTAATACTCTGATAATCAGCATCTCATCATATTTATTTATCTCTTATCTCGTTCTCATCGAGATCTGCTGTTAAAGCTCTTTTTGCCCACAAAAAGTTTAATAAGTTATAATAAGACTGATTTAAGTATGTTAATATTTACTTAAGATTGGTGAAGTTGTGAAAATTTAAATGATATAAACGTAGCTATGGACATATTTAATGTGAAAACTAATGAGGCTATTTCCAATTCCACTAATATGTATATAATAAAATTGTCAAATCAGAAATTAAAAGATTGAATATCAAGCGGTCAGGTTAACTCTATTTTAACTAAGTGAACATTTAAAAACAGATTAGATAATCCCATTTTTATTTAACATTAGTTAAAAATGGTATAATTGTGTTAGGAATATCTTATACCCCCATAATTTTGGTTAGAAATACTAGATTAAACTAGTAGAAGATAATTCTAACTTTATACTGTTAAACAGTTGTACTTTACTAAATTGTAGTTAACAATGAAAAGTATAAAAGTTGTAGGTATTTAATTTATCATTATTTTCAGGTAAGTGCCCCAATAGTTTTAACAAATGTGTCTTCATTCCTTTACACAAAACAGGAAATAAATAATTGTTCAGTAGTTATTATCTATTATTTCAGTCGGTAATTATAATTACTAGGGCTCTAGTTATAATTACTAGACTGTAGCCATTATAAACCAATATCGTTATCACTGTCTCTATCAAAAATATTTGAAAAATCATTAAATCCCAAATAATGAAGTAATATAATATTAATTATTAAAACATATTTACATGGTTTTACGAGTTTTTATAGTTGAATTTGAATAAAACTGAACATATGGTTTTCAATATTCAAAACTATTTTAATCTGGATAACTTAAAGTTTAGAGGTCAAACTGTGTAGAGCTACAAAATTGTGTTTCATGAATTATGATTCATATAAGATGTAACTGCGTTACTATTAAAAAGAAAATAGTTGTATACTTTGATTCATTGATAACTGACTAAAATGAAAATATCAAAAATATTGAATATGTTATAAAACTATTCAATTATTATCAAGACATTATTTATATATATCTATAGTTTTTAAATAATAGCAGGTATTGTTAAGGGTTAAACTTACTAAAGCTAATTTATTATTTAAATGTTGAATCTATAATTATTTACTACATTATACTATGCATATAAATAAAGATAACGGTATCTGGACTTTATAATACAATTTATATCGAACACATCATTGTATACTCAAAGAGAGTATTCAATATGTTAAACATCCTTCGTTTAAACGTATTATATAATATCACTTAATACAATACACAGATACAAATCACTCGTTATCGAGAGTAAACGTGTCTATGAGAACAGATTTAGAAAAAATACATTTGGTTTACTTTTACCTTATTGTGTCAAAAACTACACCTAAAAACTAATGCATTTCTAAATAATAAAATTATAAACAAATATATACTATATACTAAATACGCTTTGAATTTTTATCATAATTAAATATTATTTAATTAAAAATTATCAAAAAAGTAAGTGGTTATTAAAACATGTTTTCAGTTGTAAAATAACACAAACAAAAATGTTTTGAAAAATAATTTTACCTAATTGAAATTATTATGAGAGAAAATTAGTCAATCACACTATATAATTAAGCTAACCAAGAAAAAACAACTTTTATTTCTAAAAAACAATATAGACTTCCTGTCTATCAGGCTACCTAAAGTAACACAGTATACATTTCAGACCAATTTTATAATTTATAAAGTACAATTCATAAAGTTTGATAAGTCATTTAAATAAATAATAAATAGTAATAATAGAAATAATAAATGTAATAGTTTAAAACACATAAAATAATCTGGTAAAAAGTATAAATAGTATAAAATTATACTAAAGTAAAGATATTTTTTAACTAAAAATGTATATATTATAAACTAAACATCAAAATTTACAAATGTATAATTACTTGGTTTAGCAAAAAAAAATTGTACCGTTTTTTTTTTTTAATCTAGGTATTCAAAATTTTGACTACACAATTTTTCCTAACAACATCAACATAATTTCACAACAGTTTACAAATTTTCAATCTTTCAGTTAGGTCAAGATATTTTTACAATAAATTAATATTTTAATGTTATTAAGGTAAGTAAATATTAATAAATAAGCAAATACAGAAGCTACATTTATAATTTATTTGGTAGGCTAATAATTATGTTTGTCAAAATTGTAATAGTAATATACTGTTAGTATCGTTAAACTTTTATTCTAATAGAATTGGCAGACTGATAGAATGTGATTTTATATTTTGGTGTTTCTGGGTTGGTCACGCTGATAAAATAAAAATTGTGTTATCTTTTGGAAGAACTCTTATCTCTTATCATTTTTTGGAAGAACTGCCCTGAACACGCTGACGGATCTTGTTATTATCGTAAGTTACGAATAGGTACATCCATCATTTTCATGACAAAATAAATATTGATATCTGCCACTTGTGATAGTCGGGAAATAGTACTGAAAGCATTATTTTTTTTCATTTTGGTCACACTGATAGATGTAAACAAAACCGGCTTCTCACTTTATCATTGGTTTGGTTTGATATTGGCTAGATTATTATTATTATCCAGTACTGTACGCTAAACGCTTAAGCTTTTATTTACATACATTTCAGCCTTTACTTTTTACATTATACCTATCGTTTACAATTGGTTTATTTAATTCAATTTAATTTTAAAAAAACATTAAAACTTGACTATTCAATTATTCAAGTATGAATAGTGGAATGTTGTATGGTGGTGATGAGATTGGAGCGTTAGTGTTTGATTTGGGATCGCAATCATTCCGTATTGGTTATGCTCAAGAGGATACGCCGAAAGCAGAAATACCAGCAGTAATCGGCATATCAGATGATGGTACAGCAGATACTAGTTTGTTGGAACCCGGAGTAAAACATGGAAATCGTATCAATGAAAACGCTAAATACTATTTGGATATAACTTCATTATGCGTAGCTCGCAAAGGTATTTTATATTATTTTTCTATCATTTTGATTTGCGTTATAAATTACTGTACATTTTTCTTTAGGTATGGAAGTAGTGAGTTACATGAAAGACGGCATGATCGACGACTGGGATCTGTTTGAGAAAATCCTAGATTACTCTTATTCAAAGTGTTTGCAAACTGATTCTCAGTATCATCCAGTGTTGTTTACGGAGTCACCATTGAATATAAGATCCAAACGTGAAAAATTAGTTGAACTCATGTTTGAAAAATACAATGTTCCTGCAACATTTCTTGGAAAAAATGCTGTTCTAGCCGCATTTTCTTGTGGACGGTCTACAGGTATTGTCATTGACAGTGGCGCTACTCATACTTCTGCTATACCAGTCCATGACGGATATGTCATTCCCAGTGCTATTGTCAAATCACCCTTGGGAGGAGATTTCATTAGTATGCAATGCAGACAATTCCTCAAAGTAATGATATATTATCTCTCAATTTATTAATAATCCTTAAGGGAATTCAAAGCGGACAGATTTTAGAAGGTTTTATTTATTTATTTATTTTATACGGGACAAGCCCAAAATTGACAATAAGTACAGTAAGTAAATTTTAAATATGAATAACAATATAACTATGACTAAAACAATAACTAAGTAAAAACAGCAACTAGAACTATTATATAATTTAAATTTGAAAACTTTATTTATTTACACAAAATAGAAAATGATTATAGACGAGAAGTGAAGGCGTCTGTGTTTGCAGTATTCATTAAACGGTTAAGAGGGGAGTTTAAAAAGTAGTTTGTAGAAGAATGGGGAATAAGAAAATATTATATTTATATAGGAAATATTTAACCCTTTCGTTCTGGGTTTTTTTTTTATTGAAAAAAAAAAAAATGTACGTATCGGACTGGTATTGACTATCAATATAGCTGTGTCGATTTTTTAATCATCAATCTATACTAGAACTAGACATTTTTGATAATGATAGTATGTTATTAATATTTTATTTTATTTTTAAAGTTAAATCCTCGTACGAGGATGTCAGTAACGAAAGGGTTAAGAAAATAGTGGTGAAGGTATAATTTTTAGCTAAATTTTTTCTTCAAGTAAAAGTCATTTTTTTGTTAGAAGTAACCAATTTAGACCTAAAAACCTGACAAAATTACCCTTAGAATGATTAGATTTTAATTCTTTACTAAAAAAAACAATTAAGTAATTTCTAAAAATTTAAGAAATTAAAATAGGATTTAAACACAATTTTAATGTAATTATCTAGAATCAATTCTCACAAAAACATAGAAAAGAAACCGTTACGTATTTACAGAAATTAAATCGGAAGTAGGCATAATTTTATTAGGCTTAGTTCGAAAACTTTCAAAAAACCAGACCGCTTTCAATCCCCTTCATTTATTAATTTTTTTCTTAAAAAATAACATGAAAATTTAGTAAATATAATTAAAATAAATATATTGTCTATCGATATTATTTATTATTTAGTCCTTATTTACTTTAGGAAAATGAAATAGAAGTCATACCCAATTATATGGTTGCCCAAAAAGAACAAGTAAAAGAAAAAGAAAAGCCCATTTGGACAAAGAAAAAAGCTCTTCCCGAAGTAACCAATTCGTGGCACAATTACATGTGCAAATCGGTTGTTCAAGATTTTCAACATTCGGTGTTACAAGTTTCTGAAGGTCCTTACGACGAGAGAATTGTATCCGCACTTCCGACCTATCATTATGAATTTCCAAATGGTTACAACCAAGTGAGTAATGAGATGTTTGCTACTTAATTTAATATAAAATAATATTGACACCACAATTTATGGAAATTATGTAAATAGGAATTCGGAAATGACAGATTCAAAATACCCGAGGCTTTATTCGACCCTAGTGCTAGTATGGGAGGATCCATGTTGGGCGTAAGTCACATAGTTACTACAAGTGTAGGAATGTGTGATGTAGACGTTCGTCCCGCGTTATATAATAATGTTATTGTTACTGGAGGAAATTCATTTTTACAAGTAAGTTCCTTGCATTCTCGCATCGAAGCAAAAATTAACTAAACAGTTGTTTATTTGTTACAGGGTTTCCCAGAACGATTGAACCGTGATCTTTCTGCACGGATACCAGCAAGTATGAGGCTAAAACTAATTGCACCTAACGGTTCCACTGAGAGGAGATTTGGCGCATGGATTGGCGGTTCAATTTTAGCTTCGATTGGGACGTTTCAACAAATGTGGATCAGTCACCAAGAGTACAACGAGGGTGGTAAAAGTCAAATTGACCGCAAGTGTCCGTAATTAAGATATCTAGACTTATTGTAATATTGTACGTGTTTTATATATCATTTACTTAACTAGAATTTAATATATTATTTCTCATATTAATTATTATTATTATTTGACAACGTTCAATGACTATGTTAGTTTGATGTAAATAATTGCATTTTTTTGTATCAATATTTTATAGAATAAATTTAATTATTCATACTCTTACTTTTTAGTGCATTAATAATTATTATTATATGACAGGGTTTTATCGATTCCTTTTGTAAAAAAATATTAATTATTAATATAATTATTTAAGTGATTGTGTTAAAAACCCGATGTTTTAAGTTTTAAAACCTATCCAGAAATATTTATCTTCCCTTGTTTAGAACTACAGTATATTTTGTATGTAGACTTGAACATGTAGGCCCGCTGCTATTACCTAATGAGTATAGTATGTTTGTTTTTATATATGCCGCTTATGAATTTAGGAATGACTAGCTACATTTATTGATTGTAATGAAAGCATGTTTTAAAAACCTATTATAATCTATATTGTATTAAACATACAAAATATTATATCAACTTTTATCACAGTACTGTTTTTAAATTCCAGACATATTATAAATTATAATCTATAATATTTTACTTCCAAATCGAAACTACTTTTGTGTCTTTTTCGATTTCTTCATCTAACTTATAGACGTCTGAATTTGTGTAGCAACTAATTAAGCCCAACGAGTTAAGGCCGTTATAAAATTGTCCTAATGGTGTTTTTTCAATATCATTTTCACTTAACACGATTGGGTACTGAAAAATAAAATATATCGATTAACTATTTTTTTATGAATTACAAATATTAATTTAGTTAATTAATTAATTTTTGTTAACTTCTTAAGAGGAAAAGTAATAAATTGTTATCCTTTTAATTAATTTAATTAGTCTATATTTTTTTTCTCCAAATATGTTCTTACTATAATATTTTATATGTAAGAATATATACTTGGTTTATACCTTTCTTAGTTGACGAATATATCCATTAGCTAATCCATAGAGAACTAGATTTCTTTCGTCTATGTTTAGCGAGGCTGGATTATACCTTAAGCAAACATCGATGAGACGGGATCCTTGTCGCATAGCAGCATACATATTAAATATACTTTTTAATGTTGCTTTTGGTCCATCTAAATTGCAGTAAATCAATTATATTATACATTTTTATCTTTAAACAAAATGGATAATTTAAAAAAGACCAACTTGGCCGTGATATAACATCGATAGCTTCGTCATAGCGACTCCTATTCCTAGCTAAATTCCCTATTTTAGTTGTAGACACATACATGTTGCTATAGCGGAATAAGTCAACTAAAGAAACTGCATTGCAATAACTGAAAAATAGTAGGACAAACAATTTTTTTTATGTATCAAATTTGATTTTAACAGGAAAAATGTCACTAAAAATATTCTGAGTTCTAACCATACATTTTTATAAAAACAAATTTTTTTAATTTTTATACTTACACTAAATTTTGAATACAGGCAGTTACCATTTCAATGTCCAATTTTGCAAGTTCAGCAATTTTAGATATATGATTTACTCCATCAATAAATGGTGCTACCTGTGTCAATTTTATATTTTCATTTAATTTACAACTCTTGATTTTTAATTTTTTTTTATTTATTTGTTTATGTTTGTACGGACTTGTCTAGTGGTGAGATCCCAATGTTCTTCGGTTAATTCTAGGGGACAAACCAATAATGGAACATCATAATCTAACGGAACCGGTGGGTTATGTGACACCTCAACAATATTTAAGTAAACAATTGTATCTTGGGCTAGACAAAGTAAATAATCACGTGTAAGCATAAATTGATGGATTTAGGTTCGAGCCTTGTAAACTGCAAATTAGTCAGCTGTCTCGACAACACAGAAACTAAAATTTTAGCTACTACCTTAACTTACCTGTTAAAATACATTTTTTATACATGTTGATATCGTTCATAACTTTTTTCAATAAAAACAATAAATGTTCTTTAGTTTCTATTGATTTGTCATTTTTTGATAGAAAATTATCTTCGATTTCCAAATTTGTCTGTGGTGAAAACAAATCAAAGTGGTTAATTTAAAGTTACATTTTGTATCCTCCACTCCTTTAAAATTTATGCTTACTAAAAAATGTGACAGTTTCTTTACAATAGGTTCATATTGAACGGTATGGGAGGAATGATCGCAGACAAAACATAAATTAAAATAGTAAGCATTACGGGCATACTTTTTGTCGCTGATATGTACTGGGTATCCTAAAATTTTGGTATCTCTTGTTGTTCTGGAATCATACATAGTGAAAATTTATTATTATTAAGCCTAGTCCACATTAGCGAGCAGAATCTCCAACTGCAATACAAACATGTTACAGCTAAATGTTGACAATGAATCTTTGTCGTAAATGGTGTTACATTTATAGCTATAACATGTTTGTGTTAAAAATTGCAAAGGAATAATTCAATACAGTGAACGAGACTTAAGAAAAACCATACACGGCAATAATAAAATTATTATAAGTGGCGCTTTTAGTATTTAAGTATTTAAGTAAATACTACTTTTTTATGAATGTGTAAATTAAACTCACATAGTAATTTTGCATCTCTGAAGTTGGCCTTTTGGAATAATATATACACTTACAGTTTCGAAAGTATCTTTACTAATAAAATCATTAGGCACCTGATAAACATTAATCGAACAAATTAGTTAAGAGTATGTTCTAATATTCTGTTAGTTTTCTTGTAAATAAGTATAGTAATTTTTTTTACCACGACACCAATAAGCTTCAACTATGCTTATTAGAAGTAAAATAATATAAGTCAACTTCTGTTTGGCTATATAATATATTTGATTTAATATTAAAGTAATCTTCACACAAGTTTAACAAACAATAAGAAATAGAATATACGCAATATTTGACGACAAATATATTTTGATGTATGAATGACGTACACTTAGTTTTTGATTAATTTATATTAGCTTTACACTATCCTTTTATACATATTCAATATTTTGTTTCGTAGATAACCCTTAAGAGGTTACGACCCTCTCGGATCTGACACGAAATTCGCATCCGCCCTGAGAGTTACCGTTGGGTCAGATCCAACCCGAGAGTTAACTTACACTAGTCTGATTTTTCTAGCAGTTCTTTTTTATTTGCTAAATGAAACACTGATTTTCATTAATAAACAATTCAATATAGTTGTTAATATATATTGAAACTTGTTTATAGTTCATTTATTTTAACGAAAACAAATAAAAAAACCCTATTAAAATGTGGATGGGTCGAATCCAACTCAACCGTACCTTCTAATTTCTATGTATGTCATCACGGACCACTGTACCTCTCAAGGGTTAAAACTCTGCAGTATATTTAGGTGTGGTAGTTTTACACAAAAAGAGATGACGCCATATATTTATACTATTTTATGTATAAAATGTCCAGTTTATCTTAGGCCCTCTCATCCTTTACTTTTATATAAAAACGTAATGGGTGAATGTAATGAACAGCTGATTATAAGTATTGCTATTTTAAATTTACCTGACACAATATTTTCGGTCCAGCTATAGGATGAAAGTGACTGATGAAAATACATTTTATAGGATTATCATAAATATCCATTTATAAATGAGCTTGATTAATGATTTTTTTACTACACATAAAAAATACATAAATTCATAAACTAATAAAAAAAAAGTTCCGGTAATGGTGAATACAAACAAATGTATTATTTAAACTTTAAAGTAAGCCATAATTTGAAGTTAGTTAAGAACAATATTTGCAGTTATTTTATCATCAAAATGGTCATTGGTCAGAGATAGTACTTATCCAATTGGCACTTATCACACATTTTAATAATTTATGACCATGTATTAGTTGCTAGCTATTTTGTTTTTGATGGGTAAAGTAGATAAGTTATCAAGTTAAATTATTCAAATATTCTGAGGAACTAATAAAATTACAAAATAATAATCTCGAATCACTCAAAATCTAACCCACTACCCAGAGCCCCTGCATGAGCGGTGCTGCCGTTGTCTTGGCATAGGGGTCCGCAAAGGATTAAAAATAAATGAATTAAAAAACAAAATTTAAAATACTGGCGACGATGTTGAATAACTTTTACCTTGGTTTTTTATTATGCTTAATCAATAAACAGGCGTAAAAAAATATTATAATATGAAATTTGTTCAATGGTATTTTTGGAATTATGTTTTGACCATCTTTTTGGAAAATTTTCCATAATGAAAGCAAGAAAAATATAAAATAATTTATTCGTGTTTGTTTTTCACGACTTAAATATTTTCTAATATGTATTATAAAGTTTAAATTCTAATTTAATCAGTAGTTTTTAGGATTAGACTTTAGTATTCTTTAAGATGTTAATGTCTCAGTTCAAACATTAACAGTTGTATAAATAATGATGATATTGTGTAAGGGTTCCTGCATTTTGCAAAGATTGTTTAGATTAATAAGGAAGCGTTATACCAGCTAGCAATAAAGCACACTGATTGATGTGGGCACCTGATCGAACCATATTAAACATCTAACTTGCTCTCATTTGTTTGTTCTAAAGTTTAACAATTTCGAGATATTTCTTATAAAGGAAAAATATAAAAAATGAATACAGGTAATTAGTGTAGTGGTTTTTTAGTCTAGCTTGCATCTTTTTTTAATGAGTATTAATTTTAAAAAAAATATTATACTGATGATTCATGTTAAATACAATTGAAATAAAAGGAGATAAGTAAAAACAAATAATTATTGATCTTATTGAATATTTATCTTATGAAGAAACGAGAAAATGGTTGTTTATATTATGTCTATCAACTAATTTTATTTTTGTAACCATTTTAAATAATATATTAGAAATAGAAATATATATACATATATAATACCGATTAATCAAGTTTTGATTCCTACAAAACTTAAGAATTTTGTAGTTGAAAAATAACCCATTAAAGCCAGAGTTAAAAAAATGTTTTGTCGTTATTGTCACAAGAAGTGAAATTCTCACTTTACAATAAACTCTAAAAATATTTTTGCACGGCGCTAAAGGTAAAATACATAATTTCTATAAATAAAAAATAAAATTTTTGTTTTTAAAAAATCAACTTTAGAGACTCAGTGGTTTATCAAAAGTCAGTTTATAGTTTTTAATTAATTTTTATAAACCATATTTTATAGCTACTGTAACACAAATGTTCAAATAACAAAATTTAAGTCACTGAAAAAATTGATATTTACAGCTGAACAGAACTATATAGACATAGATATAAAGTTATAAATATAATTTATTGATATAATAATAAACAGCAGATAGCTGAGAAAATTTTAACTGAAATTATCGATTTTTTTTTAGTTAATCTATTGATAAATAGTAATAAAATGTAGATTAAATTTTCAATAAGTTTTATCAACGTTTCCCATTGAAGCTGGTCAGTCTAAGTGGTGTTTTAACATTAGCTGCTGCTTGTTGTTGTATTTGATAAGCCAAACCATGAATCTTGAAGCCATACAATCTGTAATTATAAATAAAATCAATTGACAAAACCAAAATTTGAAGTTATTTAACCTGAGTAAAATTAATAACTAGGGATGTTAATTTAGTACAAATTTGTATTGTTTTACAGAACTGAATAACACTGAGCTAATTTTGTGGATTTGTGCCCAACTTAGACATTACGTTTAGGATGTAATAGCTCAAAAAAGTTCAATTGGTTTTGCAAGTTAAAAAAGTTACTATTAAAAAAAAAATTGAGTATTTGTAATGGCACTATTTTTTTATAGAGGAAATCTTAAAAAAATCATAAAACAGAACTATATACATAACTTGATATCAATAAAATAATTTATATTTATAATAAATAGTTTTTACCACATATAGTTTCACTTCAAAGCGTTTATATGAAAGTGATTTAATCACATACAATTTTTAATAATTTCTAAAGACTTTTTAAGCTCTCCATTTCACTAAGCATCTGATCACTAATAAATAGGTAACTATAATTTAAATAAAATATTTTATCTAAATATTTAATAATTAAATAACTTAATTTTATTTATTAACTTTATTTGACAGATTATACAATACACATACCTGGGTACAAATTGATTACCAGGTCTCGGTGGTCTGTATTCAGGATGAACCATGAACAACATGTGCGGAAATCCCGTTCCAAAATAAGCACCGTCTGTATGGTGATGACGAGATGACTTTGGCGTATAAACATCCATACACTTAGGACAGTATAACTTTACCATTGCTTCGCCAGGAACATCTGATAAACCTATAAATTGAATTATTTATACATGATATATTATATATTTCAAAACAAGATAATATAATTTAAAAATTCAATTGTAAAAATTGTAATTAAATTTTTCGCATACCTATTGGAAGCATAGGAGAGTTTTCACAATATACTCGTGGACAGTGTCCAAAATCACCCGTTTGATATTTTTCAATCATTTGCGCGATTCCACGATTGGTCAAAATATAGCGAGCGTGTATTAAACCGTATAACATTTCTGCAGCTTGTTCAATTAAATCTGAATGATTCGGGTTATCGTCCAAGTCATCATCTAAAAATATAACATAACATCATAAATAAAAACATGAAAGTTGTTTTATTATTTTTATAATTAGATATTATGTTTATTGAATGTAAAACTAGTCAATAGTCACTATTATTTACTTAAAATTTAACTGAAATCAATTGTTTTTCTACTTATAATCCTTATGTAGAAATATAGTGCATACACACAAGTAGCTCCAATCATACACTATTGAAAGTGCGGATACATTTTAGGTAAAAATAATATTAAATTCTATACCTGGTTCAAGATCCAAAATCATATCTAAAGCTTGTCTGTAATGAGGTACTTGTTCATTGAGGCCTGTCAAATTAAATTTATCCTGAATGTAATCTTCGTCGACCTATTAAACGAGATACGTTTTGATTCGTTATTTATTCTAAATTTTTTTTTTTTAATAAATTGTTTAATCCATATACATACTTCACAGAAAAATTCATTTCCACGTAACCCGCAGAACCACGAGATCCATGATACCTCTTCTGAACTGCTCATCCTCCTGTTCGAAAACATAAAAATTAAAACGTACTAGATTTAGTCCAATTTTGCAAGAATTGAATTTTAAAATATTAATTAAAAACGCTTTTTAGATGTACTTTAAAAAAAAAAAACATATATTTACATCAAAATGAAGTTTAGATTTTGATATTAAATACACATTGTTTTGAAGCGACTTACCTTCTTTTACTTGGGCTAGCCACGCTTTAATGATGAAATTAATTTCGATGATCAGTAATAACGAAAAAAAACTTAACACTCTTTTTCTTAATTCAAGAATTAATAAGTATTACTTGAATGTTATGACTATTGGATTGTGGAGTGTGGACTGTGGTCCGTGTCCTGTGGATGATGGATAAGAAATTGTATGTGTAGTGTATACTGTGGTAATAAAAGTTATAACTCTATGGCCAGAGTCCGGGCAGTAGGAGAGTGAAGAGTAGAGACGTCTAGTTACTAACATGGCCAGTGTAGCCGCAAAAACAGATACATATTGATTTTCCATAGCCATTTTATTAAGTGGCACCCTGCAACTAAGATTTCTTATCAGTATTTACTTGATATATTAATCAATCGAATTAATGTATCATTCTATCAAATAATAAACAAAGATTCAACAAGTTGACTGTGTTTAGTCAGCACTCATCAGTGTTGTGTGAACTGTGTACTGCGATTCTTTGCGAAAGCAAAGAAAATGTTCGGTTGATGTATACAATATTATACCTATTATCACTATTCGATTTCCCTATTCCGCGTAAATGTTCATATTTTTATTATAAGTATGAAAAGTCATTCTCCGTAAAATGTTTAGTGTCTAAAACTAATACAAATAATGGCAAACGGTGGTTGGCGCGAATGTGCAAACTGGTTGACGAGGTGTGGCGCAATAAGAGCTGATCACAAAGTCAATTGGCCGGGATCGACTATTGACGATTTAGCACATACCCTCAGGGATGGAGTGATTTTGTGCAATTTGCTCAACATATTAGACCCGGGATGTCTGGGCGCCAAAGATATAAATCAAAAGCCACAAATGGCTCAAGTGAGACTTTACCAATGATATTTTAACCGAATTGATAAATGCATAATTATTTCAATAGTATTTACTTATTATTGATCATTTTGATGAAGCTTGTTACTTAACTAACAAAGCTTTTTTCAAAACCTAAGAATTATAACATTTTTGTTTTCAAGTTTTTTTATAAATACTATATAAATAGTATTAGTAAAATCTATAGACTTACTAAGTGATGTAGGTAAATCATTACGCTGCTGTCTTGATATATGAAATTCAATTTAACTTCACTGAAGTGTGTTATCTGTTTCTACTACATCCAGATTATGCCAATTTGAAAAAAGCGTTAAAAATAAAGATCAAAATTAAAAAATTGTTATACAATTATTAAAGAAATCTATCGTTCTTATAAAGATATTGAATATCATTTATTACAATGTTGAAATATTATTAAGAATTGCTAAATACTGATGTTCAAAAAAATCACAAAATAATTGGTTATTTTATAATTTGTTCTATATTAATTATTTCAGTTCCTGTGTTTAAGAAACATAAAAATATTTCTACAAGTATGTCAGGAAGTGTTTGGTGTTAAAGAATATGATATGTTCGATCCTATTGTATTGTTTGAACTGTCTGATTTGTTTAAAGTTATTCGAATGCTATCTATTCTTTCACAAACCCCAAAACTACAGAGATTACAGATACAGTATGTAAACTGTTTTATTTATCAATAATAATTCATAACTATTTATAATACAAATTAAGATAATCAAATGATGTACGTTTAAATGTTTTTTTCAGAGGATTTATTGTTACAAAACCTCGAACTTCGTCTCAAGAAGATATATACAGGAACATCAATTCTTTGTAATTATACATTTTTTGTTTATTTAATACAATAGAAGAGAACTTCTATTATAATTTTTCTTTATAATTTAAATTATTATTCATAAATTAAAAAATATGTTTAAAATTTATATGCTTTAAAAATAAATTTGAAAAAAACAGTACAGTGGGATCGGGGTATAGTGTTGACTGAACATATTGGAGCGGAGTAGGTCACAGATTTATATGAATTATTACAGCAGATTGATAAAATAAACACTGATGCTAATCTGTAATGGTACAAGTACAAATTTCTGATCTGTAGACTTGCTACATGAAGAAATTGTTTCAGTGGTTTGAAAGATATCGTGGGGCTAGACACAAAAAAAAATAAAACACATCGATGTAGAAACAATACTTTCTCAGCTCTGCATCGAAGCTAAAAAACAGTTTTCTGTTAATTTATATTTATTTTAAATTCTATTTTTGGTTTTTTTACAATATTGTTTTGTTTAATTATTGTGACTTATGTTTTTGGAATACTGATAAATATCTTTGTACATGTTATAGGGACTTTGTATCATCAAGGAGTGCATTATTAGATTCATTTCATGAAAATGAATATACAAGTTACGATACGCATATAAGAAATGAAGAAATTTATCATGATTTATGTGCTATTGATAAGGGTTCATCCATTGCTCAGGTGATTAATAATTAATATTATATTTCAACCGTAGATAAAAGGTACAGTAAAATCTGTCTTGGACAGAATTGCACAGGACTGAGAGAAAGTTCCGTGTTAAGCAGTTTGTCATCTTATTCTGTAAAATATACACGCATAGCCGCTTAATGGGACGTTACACACATTTTATGAAAACTCAGTCTACTAGTAGCCTAACATATCAAAAAACGTATATGTTCTGTTGTAATTTTTGGAATCTACTCTGGTTTTTTTTTAATCTATTATAAAAAAAAAACTTATATGCCATATTAATTCATTTTAACATAATTTAGTTTTAAGGATTTTATCAGTTATCATTAATGTAATTTGTATTAAATTTTTAGGATCCTGTAGTTGCACAGCATACAATCGAAAAACGAGATTACGTAATCAACGAACTTGTTGAAACTGAAAAAAATTATGTTGACGTCCTACAAACTTTAATCAAATGTTTTATCAAACCATTATCGAAAGTTATGAAAGAAGACGACTTTTTTATTATATTTCAAGGAATTAAAGTATGTAGCCAAAAAAACCGAATGAAATATTAATGTTGATGATCATGTGAATTGTTTGTTTTTAATTAATATATTTTCTTCAGGAACTTTACGAAGTGCATAAAGATTTTCATCAAGATTTGATAAAAGCGTGTTCTCAGTATAGTTCTTTAAGATTATCCGATGTTTTTCTTAAATGGAAAGACAAATTCTTAATATATGCAGACTACTGTGCCAATTTAACTATCGCTCAAGATAGAATACAAGATCTGTGTAATCATAATGATGTCATCTACAGAGAGGTCAATGTATGTACAGCTAACCAATTTATAATGTTTATTTCTTTTCTTCATTGCCTTTTTCCCATAATTAATTCAGTTACTATTGTTCTCTGACATAGTTAATATTATTATAGCGTTGTCAAGAAGAAGCAAATAATGGAAAATTTAAACTTCGTGATATATTGTCAGTTCCAATGCAAAGAATACTTAAATACCACTTATTGCTCGACAAATTAATACACGATACACCACAGGTAATTTTTATGACAAATCTCTTACACTTTTATATTACGCACAGCTTAACATGTATATTATTTATAAATTATTTTAACAAATTTATTTAGTCGCATAAAGATTTATCAGGATTAGAATGGGCCAAAGAGTGTATGGTGGACGTTGCACAATATATAAATGAAGTAAAAAGGGACAGTGATACTTTGCAAATAATGAATGATGTTCAGGTCTGTATATTTTAGTAAATAATAATAAGTATAAAATATTGTACAATATTATTTTATTAACTTAAGTGTGTATTACTTTGTTATAAAATAAAATCAATATAAGGAGGTAGAGTGGCTGAGTAGGTAAAATGCATTAGTGTGTTAGCGCTCATTATCACTGCATTGACATTCTATTAGACGACCTTATTTGCTGGGTGGGAGATCATCTAATAATAAGGAACCATCATACCCCTCTATGAAGACAGATTATCGACCCGTCTCGAATACCAAACTCATATGGAATCCTTCTCCAATAACAATGAAAAGAATAAATTCATAAAAAGCCCTAAATAATATGCGGAAACTATTTGACCATTTTTAAATTTTATAACACTTCATTCTCTTTTAGGCAATTTATCTATATTTATAAAAATCAATTTAAATAGATATATTTATTTTTTTAGAAAAGTATTATAGATTGGGAAGTTATGGGTGTAACTCATTTGAAAAATTACGGACATTTGATTGCTGATGGTGAATTAAAAATTAAAGCTCATAACGATCAAAAGGTGAAACCCAGGTAATTGTTTTATTTTATTTTCTTTATGTTTGATTAATTGAAATAGTTTTGTTTGTATGTGTTGAATATAATGGTATGGTGTGTCTATTTATTTTGGTAAGATATAATTTTTTTTTCTATGCTTCGACAGTTTTGGTTTTTGGCTTTATTATCAGTAGGTTTCCTGTGATCGATGAAAGTTATAAATATATCCAAATTTGCAAGCATTTTTTTGTTTTAAACAAAATCATTAGGAATCACACATAAATATACAAACCTAATACAAATTGTATTTTGCATACTAAATAAATTTATAGAATTTTTTAAGAATTTAAAGTTTTAAAATTGTTTTAAGAATTTTTGGTAAGAATAAAGAATTTTTAGTTATGATACTAACTAGTAGTTTTTTGATCTATACATTTTTTTATTTATTGAGTTTATATTTTAAACTACCAAGTATACATTTAAAAATAAAATCTAATACTACTCACTTTTTTTTTTTTTGTAGATACGTTTTTATTTTTGATAAAGTTGTTTTGATGTGCAAAGCAATTAGAGTAAGTTGTATTGATTAGTTTTTATTTCTGAGCTATTTTTATTATTTTGTCGCTTTGGTTTTTCACAGTATTTTGTATAATATGCATTGCTTAAAACCTAACAATACTGAGACAATATTATTACTAGCTAATTGTAAGTGTTAAAGTTGAACATCTAATTTTTTCCAGAGTGACCAATATTCTTATAAGCAGTCGATTTTAACGACACAGTACAGACTTGAAGATTGCAGTAGCAAAAAGTTTTTATCTAGGGAAAATCGCTCGTCCCATCAATTTTATATGGTTCACAAATCGGAGAGTATTGCATACACATTTTACGCCCGGTCTGAGGAACAAAAATTGAAATGGATGAAAGCCATACAAGATGCAATGTGAGTAAAAAAAATGCATCACTACTTTAGTTGCACCGAACCTATGCTGAAGTTATTAACATTGAATTTCTAGGGATAATGTTGAGCCGTCAGTGTGCAATTTAACCAGTCATAAATTTGTGGTGCACACTTTCAACACGCCTACTGTATGTTACCACTGTTCAAAATACTTAAAAGGCTGTATATTTCAGGTTAACACTTCTATTTTGTTGTAGTTTAAAAAGTAATTATATAGTAGTAATACTATTTTTACAGGGATACAAATGTGATGAATGTTTTATAAGTGTACATAAATTATGCATACCCGAATCGGGACGATGTGGTCTGATCAGCACACAATCTACTGCCGTACAAACTACAGTTTTCCCAAATAGGTTTTCTGCTGATAGTACAAGTTTTAATCATCGACATCGAGTAAGAATTTTATAAATATATAGATTTACAGGTTAAGCAAGTTGAAGTTTACAAATTAGCGTTTTTAATCTTCATAGTAAAGTTTATAGGTAAAGTATTAAAAAAAAAAACTAAACCATTAGAAATTTATCTTATGTAAAATTGACTACACTGGACAACATGCAGCCTAGTAGGTAAGACAGCAGTGTCTAGCGACGGTCGGCTCTGTTTGCACCTCAACTTTTTCTTTTTGACGTTATAATATGACTTAAATATTGAAAAGTATACAATTTATATAATCTACAAATGTATAAATACATTTATAAATAGATTATTGAAAACATTTCTTTTTTCAGTCACCAGATTGGACACGAAATTGGTCTGACAGTGATATCCTTACAGAACATCTTTGGTAAATATAATTTTATTTGAAAACATTTTATTATTTATTATTTTAATAATTAACAACTATAATATCACTTAAAACGCATTTTTATACAATACAATATTTTACATCAAATATACATTAAAAAAAAAATATATGGTATTAATTTTAAAAAATATGTACAAATAATTAATAAATCTCATAAAAATAATGATTTTGTAAAAAAAATATATTTTCAACAAGAATGTTAGTATTACTAGAACACTTAATTGTATAATCCATGAACTGGCAATGTTGCTTTAATTCATTTGTCACCTCAAGTCCTGGATAACAGAAATAGATATTATTATTATTATTATTAATTTTTATATTATAAAATATTCGATTCTATTATATTAATGTTATAGGTTTGTTGGAGAAATGGACAGAGATCGAGCCACCAATCTGTTGGAAGGTGAATCAGATGGTACATATTTAGTACGAATACGACCTCAAGGGCCTACTAGACCCATAGAAACGGTTTATGCCCTCAGTCTAAAGTAATATTATTATTTAAAAATTTGAATTTCTGATCCATAATAATTAAAAATGTACATATATAGGTCTAACAATCAAGTGAAACATATGAAGATATGTGAAAGATTGGAAGACAGTATTAGCAGTTTTTATTTGTCGGAAAAACGTTTTTTCCCTAATTTGGTCGAATTGGTAAATTTTTATGAAAAAAACAGTTTGAGCGAAAATTTTAATGGGTACATAGTGTATTAACTACATAATATTCAAACTAGTTGTCATACATTTTGTACATTTTAACAGGCTGGATATCAAGTTAAGATGGCCATTTTGTCGAATACTTGCAGTGGCAAAGTATAACTTTTGTCCGACAGAACCAAACCAGTTGCCTCTTAAAGAAGGATGTACGCTGAAAATTTTGAGTAAAGAAGGAGATCAAAAAGGCTGGTGGAAAGGACAAATAGGAGATAAGGTAAATTAGTGAAAAGAGAGTTACATTCAGCCATTCACCTCGTATTGCGGTTACCTAATGTTTTTCATTACTCATTAGTCATTTGTATTAATGTGTTATTTTTTCTTGTAAACTTATAAGTAATATACATTTTCAATTATTAACTTCAGTGCAAAACAGATAATATTGGTTAACAAAACTTTTTTTTAATATTTTTGTTTGGGTTTTGTACAATTTAAAAAACTATATCTATAGTCGAATGGTTTAAATCAACTTAAATAAAAAAAATAATAGATACAGAACTTTACTTTAAAAAAATGAAAAAATCTGTTGGTCACACTTTTTTATTGGGTAAAACTCTTAAGTCAAAGATTGATAAACACATTTATTTATATTGAATAGTTTTTACCATATACAGTTTAACGTTAAAGAGTTAAAAAAGTTCCTGGAAATGTGTGACCTGATTTTGACTTTTTGAAATTTGTGTTGTTAAAGGTGTTAGCTAGCCATTACAGTTAGTTATTTTTCCACAAATAATACTTAAATAGCATTAAAATAATATTCTTACCGTAACACAGATTGGATTCTTTCCTAAAGTGTATGTACAAGAGCTGGTTAGTTCAATGTAATGACACTAATAATCGTATACAAGCTGAAGAACTTTTTGGCTAATTCTCTTGCAACCGGCGTTAGAAAACAACCGTTCAGGCTCTGGGCCAAAGGTTATGATTTCCAAGGTTTTTCTGTGAGTAAAAATAAAAACCGTTAACCTACATTTATATAATATGATATATATTTATAATGTAAAATATTATTTCATTTTTATTTTTAATTGTATTGGATAAAATGCTTAAAGTCTGTCATACCTCAAACATTACTAATATATTGAAATAAATAAGAAAATCAAACTATTTATATGTTAAATATATACAATGTGTTATAATTTTTACTAAATATTTAAAATTTTAAATTAGTCGAGATATGTAGAGCATAATTTATGTTGCCATTTGTAGTAAAATTATTTAAAGTTTATTCTGTATTTTTTAACCAATTACATTTTTTCAAATATATAATATATTGATATATTATGTTTAACAGATGTTTAATTAATTTATATATATTTTTAATAAATACCAATATTGAATTCAATATATTGTACTTACTCTATTATTTCTTCGGTTATTTCCTGCTTTAACATTCTTAACTCAGATTCAATACATTGAACAACATGAGATTTTTCAAGGGGTAAAAAAGGAACAAAATGATCAATAACATGAGAATCTATTATATCACTCTGCCTTAAACCACCTGATGAATAAATAATTTTTGTAATGAATCTTGGTAGTTTGTTCAATAATACAGTAATGACTGTACAAATGTTATTTAAAATATAAAATATGTTAGTATATAATTAGGTAACTAATTATAATAATTCATAAAATAATTATAATTTACTTGGTTCATTAAATACGGCAGTTTGCAAGATATAATCAAAATGTTTAACTTCCATTAGGTCTCTGGTGAATCCATTTTTCCACAGATTTAAATATTGTTTTATAATTGCATGTTCTCCTGTATTGGTTAAAAATATAAATATTGAATGCCTGTAATGTAAAAGTTATTTAATTGAAATATGTCAATTTAATAATGAAAATAAGTGATAACTTAGACATGTATTCTACATAAATCAACAATTTTAAATATTACAATATGCCTTGAATAATAAGCTATTATCATTAGCTTTTATATTTACAAATTTAAAGATATGATCGTTTATAATTTGAAGTATAATCAACGTTTCTATTTTAACTAGTAATAAAACATATTATTAGATACATAAGAAAAACTATAATGACCTGGAATCAAGAGCTGAAATATTATTTTCCAATATTGGAATCAATACATCCAATATACCGCGAGGGACTGATGTAATTTCATCAAAAACAAATAGATTGGTCCGACATGTTTTTATGGCCTCATATATTTTTTCTAATAATTTTACCTAAAAAAAAAAAATAATCAAAAAAGAGTACATGATGCATTTGTTTAAACCTAAAAAATAATTGTAATTTTTTTATGAAGTAATATAATTATATACACATATTTTTTGCGTAATAATAATAGTACATTTATGAATAATCAATAAATATGTTACAAATATATTATAATAACTATTATTAGTATAATTATTACAAGTATGTTTTAAAGCTTGACAACATATTGCGTAACTGAAAAGTATTAGTTATGAAATTATTCTTATTATTTTAAAAATGTAATTAGTTTTTATTTAAGTTTTTTTTTTAAATTTTGCTATACTCTCTTCTTTAAGAGTCAATTTAATTTTGTTAGTAAATTTGGAACCTAAAAAACGAAGTCTATATTCAATCTATAGCTATACTATTGTCTTATGTTATTGTTTTATTTTTATTTAATGTATGGCAAATTTAACCAGAAGTAGGCTCTATTCAGTCACTAGGTTGCCCTGCCTAGTGAGAGAGATCGCCCGTGACTGGATTTGAACCAGCTCCCTTAATCTATTCAGCCCCTCCATCCCATTATTGTTAATAACATATAAAACTGAAAATATACAATGAAACTGATTTACATTGATCAACGACTAATTTTACAATGACTTATAGTATTATTATTAATTACCTTATACTCTCCAATTTTTGATGAATCGGGGAATTCTGATCGGCCATTAATAATATGAAATTGTACTTTTTTAGAATGTTCAGTAACGAAAATATGATTAGCAATCAAATTTGTAATATAATTTTTACCGACTCCAGTACAACCATGAAGGCTCATTACTAGTGGTTTTTTGTTTGATTTGCTACGTCGAAAGTTACCTTTCAATGTAGACAATATAATTTTCGATGCAATATGTTGGCCAAAAAATAATTTATTCATATCGTCTTCTAAACCTTAAAACAAAAAAAAATCAATTCAATTATAATTGTACTTCTTATGAAGTGTATTTTTTTTATTATATTTTCAAATTACTAAATATAATATTAAATATATTTAAAATAAGCAATATGGAAATAGAACTTATTAATAATTACAACTTAAAAAATATTTATAGAATTATTACCATCGAAGTCAATATTTTCACAGCATTTGTGATTTTGGAATATTTTGGAATTATAATTTTTATACAAGTAACCACCTAAAAAAGCTACACCAGCCAAGCTTACTGTAACTGGATCTATTAAACTTTGTGTGATATCAAATAATAGAAAATAACATAACAATAATACAGTATATTTTTTAATATAGACCATTTTAAAATTCCGTAAAAATTTTAAGATGCAATTTATTTTAAAATATTAAAAAATGTATTTAATATGGTTCAACTAATTTTTTCTGTTTGGTTGATGTAATTATAGTTAAATTTTATCGAGCCACAGTTTCTGCTTTTTAATATAACTTTAATGATTGAAATTTGGTTGCTTGCGGTTCTGATGTCTTGGAGTTTACAATTTTAAAGAGACAGGTGAGCCATTCTGACTTGATTTTAAAAATCCAATGGGTTACCGCCAAACTAAAATGACAACATTTTTAAATCAAAATAGTATGTCAGCTCTTGGTTAAAACGCGAAATGTCTGCTATTTTTCTTGAAGGTCATATACTTGTTAACGTAAACAGCAGCCGACTACCAAAGTACATTAATTCCAATAAATAAATTATTAAATTACATTACTACGAACATACCGGTTTAAATTGTAAACACAGCCTAGAGCAGTCGGCATTCGGGAACTGATTTTTGTTAAATTCGGCTACGTTGTTTTCATAATTCATTAAATTGATAAATGTTATCCGTTATCAGGTATACCAACCATTAGGTAGGAAGTGTATGCAGTTCATTAATGGTGCTGTGGCGGCCCCACATACAGCACTGTGGCGGATGCATGGCTACGAGGCGCCAGAGCTCGCGCAACCTAGCTGTTGGTATCGATACCGCCTCAACACGTGGTCAGATCGCCAGATCCCGGTAGTTGTGAGAGACTTCTCACATGTGATCAAAGTCACCCAAAGCTTACCTACTATAAGAAAAGTATCAAGTACCAACAGCTTGTATCTACCTACTTGTGATAAAATAAATAGATGTTTGTTCCTGTCTCCTCTTAGCGGCTAGTTTATACATAATATTATTATTATTATTGTGTCTACTATGAATCCTATTATTCTGTTCCATAATAAGTTTATACTTGGATCAGATCACAGTCCAGAGTTCATACATCTTAGGTCATATGATAGTAAATATTCAAAGATTTTGCCATAAGCACTGTTACAATCATTAATTGTCAATTATTATTTAACAACTACTTTCTTTCAACAAGTATTTTAACATTTCCTTAAATGTAGTATTTATGAAAATTAACAGTGATAAAATTACCGTAAATTTTCCAGAAAAATGGGCAAAATTATCCCAGAAAAAACGGCATTTTTCTGGATCATTAAAATTAAAGAATTTTTATAATAAATATATTTCTAAACAAAAAAATCAATACATTCATTATTTTTAGGGGGAACAAATGATTTAGGAAAATTTTGTACTATATTATTTAAAATAAACATTTTTTTAGGTAATTTTAATTCCTATTTATTACTACGTAAAAAGGATATATTTATTTAGCAAATTTAATTATTTATGAATTATGTTAGAGATATCTGCGTACGTAATTTTATTATAACCATACTTTATATTGATTAAAAATATATATAGCAACAATAATTGGTAAACAATTTATTTACAAATCAGAATAAAAAGTAAAAAAAAATTGTACTTTAAGCTATACTAACATTATTTGGCATACAAAACAAACAGTCCACTTGTAAACCTAAGCAATCCGAATGAAATCCATGGCCACACCTAGTTTAAAAAAATGGGTTGATGATTACATTAATATGCTTTATAATATAATAAAAATTGTATTTAAGTGATACAGTTTGTTCTACACTTTGTATCACTTACCTGAATATTGAAATAGAGTCCATTAAAAGTTTTTGCTTGCACGAGGAACATATCACAGGATTAGTTATACCTCTTTTGGCGAAATCAATAGCATTTACTAGTTTTCCATGTAAATCAGCATGGAGTAATGTTTCTGATGTTTGTAACATTTGTAGTTCATACTTGCATTTATCAATTAACCCTAAATTTAATCATAAATAATTCAGGTTACAACTAACAATAAGTATTTATGTTATTTAACATTCAAGCGCTCATGGGGCCAGCATTTACACTGCTCTTGTTTTAAACTATTGCACCGCATCTTAATGAGTGAAGTCGGCCTGGCAGGACTGTCGGGCATACTATAAATCCATTAATGCACAAAAGGAAATGCAAATAAAAATTGTATCATTTGCCTATGCATTATTGAGAGTACTACAAATGCCGTCACGCAAGCGATGGTGTAACTTTCAAACACACAAAGGCTTGATGGTTAATTACATTAATATTCTTACCCATTATTAAATTTCTAAAATCACCGATAGTACCAGATGAACTATTCAGAAGCAAATGCATTTCAGTAGTTAAATTTAAATCACAATTGTTCAGTACTTTTCTTAGATAATCTTAAAATTGTAAAATATTAATTAAAAATGTATACTAACAATACAATTAAGTTATATTTATAAATATATATACATATATTTACCATGTGATTGAAGACTTAGGAGACATTGCAGAATAGGTAACCATGTAGTTTTGGGATCAAGTACAGCTGATCCTCTTTGAGTTAAAGCCACTAAAGTTTCAGTACATTCTTCGATAGAATCCTCCTAAATCAATTGAATATAATTGTTTAGCTTTCTTTAATTATGTTTTTTAATCAAATACTTACTTGCTTAATGGCTTCCTGTAGCTTTCCAAAAAGCAAATCAAATGCGCCTTGAAAATCGCCAAGTCTTTCTAACAGCAAAGCAGTAGCGTTATCAAGTCCGGCAGCTCTTGTAGCCTAAAATAAATGACTATGTGTTTTAATTTCTAATCTCTAAAAAATGTTATCAAAAAATAAATATTTAAGTAAAATTATTACAGCAATGGCTCTTGTTAGATGCAATGAATCGTTTGTTTTTACAAAACTCGTAACTGTCTTTGGTTCGTGCTCGCACAATAGTTCTAAATAGTTAGTACAAAGGGAAACGTCTGGACAGGTATGGGGCCTGCAAATAAAATTGACAATAACCATCAGGTATAGGTAGTATGTGTTAATTTATAAATTGGTTACAAATGCAACACAAATTGTTAGACGTTTTCTTGTTTGATAGGTAAAAAAATATATTGAAATACAATGGCTTTACTTACAGCGCACCTTTTAGGAATAGATATCTTTGCTTGTCCAAATCAATTTGATTTGAAGCATTGAACACCTTATGTGAATAGAATGAACCGAAAACAATGCCACACCTTACAGCATCAATATCTAATAAATCCTATAAATTAATAAGTTCATTTTTAAATGTTTTAAATTTATATATACATTAGGGTGTACCAAAAAAAAATTGTTTTTTTTTGTTCTTCTCTTGACATTATGTTCCTTGGGGTAAAATAATATTTCCCTATTTTTTTCAGATTTTTTAAAATATTTTTAGAGGTTGCAATCATAAGTTTTCCAAAAAAAAAATTTTTTTTTTAGTTTTTAATTTTTTTAAGGTATAAATATAAATTTTAAACAAAATGTTGCTTGTATACAAAATTTTGAATATACATATATATTTTTTTATTATTATTATCCTCGGCAGTAAAGGCCATTATATTATTTATATATATATATAAAAAAAATGATTTAAACAAAATAAAACAATATTTTATAATACACTCTTTTATATATAGAGTGTATTATAAAATCTTGTTTTTTTTGTTTTTATTTTTTTTAAATAATTTTTTTTCTGATCAATTCTTAGAATAATGTGTTATGTGTTTGTACAATTTATGTACTTCTATAAAAAGATTTTTTTTTATTTTATTAAATAATATTGTTCTTTATTAATTACTTGTAAAAACTATGAACTAAAAAAAAATATATATTTGTTAAGTAACAGTATTTAAAACTTGTTTTTGGGTTTTTAAAAAAAAAAATTTTCTGATCTATTGTTAGAATTATGTGTTATCTAAGTATATTGGAATTCTTTGCAACTAAATGAGGAATAAATTAAAAATATTTTAGAGTGCTATTAAGGGTATATACATCAATGTTTTCGCAAATTTTACATTGTAAGGCCTAAAATAGTAGGATAGTAGTTTTTTTTGTAAAAAAAAAAAAAAAATACTGATTTATTCCTCTTTTTCTAATGAAGATTTTGTATACAAGCAACATTTGTTTAAAATTGATATTTATACCTTAAAAACTAAAAAAAATGATGCTTGCAACCTCTAAAAATTATTTAAAAATCTGAAAAAATAGGGAAATATTATTTACCCCAAGTAACATAATGTCGAGAGAAGAACAAAAAAAAACTTTTTTTGGGTACACCCTTATTATACATACATACATAAATGGCCTGATGTAAGACAATAATTTAATAAGTTACAACAATATTGTATTTACTTTCAAGTTATCGTATACTAGTTCTTTGAATTGTTCAGGGTTCGAAGAAATAAAGGAAAAAATTTGGTGTTTCTTTTTATTATCTATTAGAAAATATTTGAACATATTTTTATAATCGCCACGTTCGGAACAGATTTCTCTACAGACGCTATAACTGAAACAATATCAACATTTCTAAATTTAAGCACAAAATATGTAATGTTTTAGACAATAAATTATATTTTTTTTATAAACTAACAATTTGGCATGCTCAGCAGTTTTTAGTAATTCTGAGTTATTGTCGAATGCTCCTGATCGTATTAATTGGATAAATGCTTTTTCTCTTTCTTCAATTGGAGTCGTTTGTTCTGACGATACTAACATAGATGTTACGGTTTCAAAAACTTGTGTTTCGGGTTTTATACAATTTTCTTCTTGCTGCCACTTAACTATAAAAGCGTAAATCAAGCCTAGCTGATTTGACTGTAAAATAAACAAAAATATTTAAAAAAGTAATATTTTTAAGTATAGTAATTATTACCCATTCATACATACTTTTAAATCTTTACTATTTGATATAAGCGATGATAATATGCAGCAAATACGTTGTTTTTGTTGACTGATGAAACGTTGATCAGAAAATGCCATTGAAAGAACATTTAAGAATTCAGTTGTATTAAATTTCAACAACGTTCTAAAAAAATAGTGTTATTGTACAACATAACATATTAAAATTATTATTATATTAATAATAATATAATAATTAATAATAATAAGTGTAATAAAAATTCTACGAAAATAAATTATATTGTTTAAACTTTATTTTAAATCAAATGAAGGAAGCAAGCCTTTGAATTAAAAATATTGTCATAGGGGAAAAAACTACTTTTTTTCATTACCTCAAATAAGGATAGATGTCTTCGTTATCGTCGGCTTTAATACTATGTTGGGTACATAAGAACTGCACTATGTGGTTTCTAGCGGTGTCCTGTAAATTTGATGGTACATCACCTCGATAAGGATAAGCTATGCCTAGAAGACAGCAACTCAAGTAAACCAATATTTTATTCCCAAGCTCAACAGTAGAATCAGACAGTTCTAAAATCAATAATAATGTATAGTAACATAAAAGTTTTCAATCAAAGATATTATCAAATACCGTTATCTGAAGTTAAGCTAATTTGGGGAACAAGTTCTTGAAGAGGAGCCAAATAGTCTTCTAACGCTCTTGTCCAAATACTGATTAGACCGTCATGCAAGAAATATTTTCTTGCTAAATTTAAAGATTGTTCAATATCCAAACATTCCACTTTAACATTTAGCATACATTTTTCGAGTTCCTGTAGTTAAATATGTTATTAAAATGTAAAAATGTATGATTATATTTACTAGTTTACTAAATTTACCTTTAATTGATTGGTATCTACGAGATATTGAAACAGTTTTTGAATTACATTTGTTGGGACTTTGTCAAATTGACCTTCGAAGAGGTAATTTTTTAAACATTCTAAAAATATGTCACAAGCCGGTTTTATTTGTTCTGCACCTTCCCAAAGATGACCAAATAATAAATTACTATAAATAATTTTCATAATTAGTTAATCAAAATTGTAATAAAATTGACATTCTCCATATAAAAAGATAAAACAATAATCTTTGACTCGTACGTTTTATGGAGATGCACACATATATCAGCTATAATAGGAATGCCTTCTTTGTAATTATTTAGATTATTCACTTCTACTATTGAATCAATGTATGCTGTTAAGATGTCAATAACCTAAGACAAATTCTTTAGTTATTAATAAAAATAATAATTTCAAACAATGATTAACCTTTTCTTTAACTATTTTATGTCTGTGAAGGCGCGTGCCTCTAAGTCCGAGAACGGCTTTGCCTCTTTCTTCTAAAAAGTCAACACCCAATTGTAATGCATCACTATACAATTTCTAAAATAATTTTTACAGCACATATTAACACATATAAGTTAGTGTTAGTTTAATAATGTTGTTACTTTATCAATCAGACAGTCTAATCGCTCAATCCAACTTCTAATACTTATTGTATGTATGCTTTTAATTCCTAATATAATTAATTGATTACTAAAACCATGAACGGAACTATAACAACATGTATCCTAAAATAAAAAACCAACAAAATAATATCAAGTTAAATTCAAACAATTATTCAGTTATTTTAATAACTCACAACATGTCTATTATCGCTACTTTGGTAGTAACTTGAAGTGTAAACTAATCCGATATTTGATAAGTCTAATTGTTCCATTTCATCTCCAACTCGAACGTCAACCAAATAAATATGTTCAGATGAATTCATTGTGAGTAAGGTACGAGCATTCATCCAGCTACAAGCGATTATTGTATAAGGCAATGTAATCTTTTGTAACGAACAACAACATAGTTGGTCTTGATTGTCAATATTAATCTAAATAAACATAAGATTGTTAACTGTTTATGATAACAAAACAAAAATAAAATAAACCTGATAGAAGTAAACTGTATTGTCTCGTGTAAACGCTAATACCGGGTCCATAATTCTATGACTGGAATTGGACGTTTTGCTGAATTGTATAATAACGAATTGCCAAGACAAAAGAGGAAGACAAGGATGCGTAGCGATGATATTTTGAGACAACAGTAATTCCGTGTTTGGTCGAATCGTAACAATTATAATCTAAATAAATCAAATAAAACAATATAGAATTTGTAGTTTAACTTTAAAATAAAAATGGAACATTTACTTTTGATAATGTGGCCATTGCAATAATTACATAGCCATTCATGGGATGGCTAGTTAATTGGTTGAATAGCAATGGCTCGATACAACAAACTCTTCCACGGCCACCAGAAAACAAACACTTAGATTCTACACTCCTGATACCAAAATTTCTTTTAAAATTTAGTTCAAAAACAGAACCGGCACTGTCATTTACAATGGCCAAGTTAGGCAAATCTGTAAACTTTAGTAATAGTTAGATTAAAAACAAATAGTGATTTAGATATTAGATATTTAAAATAAATTAGCTTATATATGAGTTGCAATTATTCAAATTAATTAAAATAGTACTTTTAAATGTAATACTGCTGTATCTGGTGTATGGACGTTGTTCATTGTTCGTAAAATTTTACAAGTGGTAGAAGACGAATCAAACATTATTACTGTTCCTTGAACATATCCAGCAAGTAATCGAGAACAATCATGATTAAAATCTAAAGCAGATACCGCACCACTGTCTACTGCTTCGTGATACCACAGAAATGTTTGAGAAGAATCAAATAAAATTATAAAACCGTTTGTCGTGCCGACTACAATAAGAAGCGAAGATACTTTAATTGCACTTGGTTGTCCTGCATTAAACCGATCCTAAAAATGATCAAAGTACATTATAATCAAAATATATAGAAATACATGTACCCATTTAAAATAAAAAAATAAAAATTGAAAGTCTACTTACACAAAATGATTGCATTTGACTAGATACAGGTTTGAGAATCATATGACGTAAAATTCGGCCAGGATCCGATTTTGTATTTAAATATTTAGATGAATTTTCTATACACAAACGACTACTATTAATACTACTCAAAGATGTAGAATCAGCACCCGAATCATAGTAAGGAATTTTCAACTAAAATATAATAATATTGAATTTTTTGTTTTTATTAAACAGTATATTGTGTGTTATTACTTTGCTCTGGTAAATTGATATATCATCTTCACTAAGTAAGGAAACATCTTCATCATTTAATATACTTTCTATGGTTGGGACATCATCAATTGCTGGAATATTGAACTCGGCATCGTTAATCTAAATTTAAATAATTCATATAAAACTAACAAATAAATCTATGAAAAATATAAAATTTATATACTTCCGATGTATCCAGTTCTAATGAATGTAAAACATCTATCAATGATTTGTCTTCATCCATTTTGAGTATAAAGAACGAGATACTAGAAACTAGTTATATTTTTATAGGGTACACTACAATAAAGGAAAAAAGTAATTCTATATTAAATATCACAAACAATACATGTAATAACAAATAATGTACTGTACCAGAATGATATGCATGAAAACATAATAACGTAAGGACTGTACCAATAAACCTTATAAAACTCGACTTTAGCAGTCAAATCAATCTTAAATGTCGTTAACTATCTCGACTCGTTCATTTTTAGATAATTCAACTACATTTTAAAATAATATGAAAATTAAGACTACAACGCCATTTTCAAAGAAATAATTCAATCAACAGCTTTGTTTTTAAAAATTAAAAATCAATTATTAAATATTTCCAGTTTCTATTATTTATTATCACAATTCTTTGACTGTTATCATTTATCAATATTATTATCATTTATATCAAGATAGATTTATAAATCCATCACAGGATAATCTGTTATTTTATGAATCCACCTTAATTTATATTATTTTTATTTACATGACAGATCTATTACATGCGATACTGAGAGAAAAAATAATGGTTTTGGAAATGGAAAATAAGTGGGCGGGCCACAGCCACTGAAGGCCGCAATGTATTTCTAACTATAAAATAGGCAGGCTGGCGGGGGAGGGGGCAACTCCCCCTAGCTTCTCTGCAAGTTAAAAAAAGATTTTATCCAATATTCCAAATTCACAAAATCATAGGCGGTCCCCTCCATCATTTTCACCCGCGGGTGCCCTTGGGGGGGGGGGAGTTTTGAACATTTCTTTGGAACCCAAAACCATAAGTACATAGATATTCGATTGCCCACGGGCATATGGAAATAAATGGCAGCCGTTAATAAAACCTATAGGTTTGCGACCAAAAAAATAGGTTATCAAAACAGTATATGGCGTGGTCTTTAAATGTACGTTTAATAAATGCCAAACAAGATAAATGATAATTATTTTTAATCGTGGTGCCAAATAATTTAGCCGTTGTACGATGATTTATGATTTTTAATCAACATCAATGATTTAGGCACAGCTAGTCGACGGTCGTGCGACTTAGATAAAACTATATAGTTATATCTTAGGCACGACATAATAAATTGTTATATAAATAATAAAGTCCACGTACACTAATTGAATAAAACCACCTTGTATATTAAGACAAGCAATAGCGTATTTACAATTTTCATCTGGGAGTGATATGAAAAAAAATTCCTCCTGGCTCTTATGGCGGGACCAAAAAAGGTGAACTATACATTTGCCTTTAATCATAACACTGGTAACAGTTTGTTGTTTTCAAATTTCAATTGGACAAAATGTGTTTTGTTTCTATTTCTTAAAGTTTGCCTATCAAAAAAAAAGAAGCAAGTTATTTGAAAACATTGTTTAATATAGAAGAAAAAAATCATTAAAATGCACGTTTTTAATATAAAAACGTGCATTTTAACACGTTTTTATTATAAAATAAAACTAATATTATAATGAAATGTTTTTTTTTAGCTTTGTGACATTTCGTTTAAAACTTCTAAGTTAACAAGAAAAGTTGTCTAATTAGAAAATAGATTATTAAGAAGACAACAGCGCGAGCAATTAGTCCCATAAGAAAGCATTGAACAATTTTAATTTACTTTTCTGTTACTGATTATAGTATAATTTTTTGTACTAATCAAGATGTTCATGTTACATGTTCCGTCTAGCATTTAGAATGAGTTCTATTATTTCTCTAGTTTTTGTTTTCACTTTTCTCTCGTAGGAAAACGCGTTACGCGGCTCGAGATAACCGGCAGCCCTCTCGTGGTTAATGTTACTGACATACCTATTGGTTTTGCTATGGATTTAGATGTATACCTTATCATTTATCAATTTTGACCATTGCTTGGCTAGATGGCGTTACAAGTGAATAGACAGAACCAAAACGAAAACAGATGATCTGCCGAGTCGGCCGCGACGGCGATATCTCGTTTTCTTGGCAGTCTCTGCTGCCCGTCATATCGTCGTTGGTTGTTAATATTGTATTATTGTGTTTCCCCATTGTCGACTTTTCTCTACGACTAAACGTTTCATTTTTTTACTCCTCCGACACACTAGTTGACATTTCGTTTGAACGGGTTTAATTTCATTCTTACCCTGTCTTGTTGCTCGTTAATTAGCCGCCGTTTCCTCGATCAAGTGTGTGCGCATGTTGTTCGCGAAAAATCCGTTTTATTAGTCCAATAACACCAAATTTATAAAATTTAAGATAATCAGAAGAAAAAAAAATGCAGCCGAAAAAGTAGAGCTGACGCTATTGGGTAAGTTAGAGGCAAGAGTAAAATAATTACGGCGTCTAGCGAACAGTCATAGCATTCGATGGTTGCGGTTAAAGTATTATGCTTATTTATGTTGTTTTGGTTTCCGTACTATGTCTCTATTGGCGCTATTTTTATAATTATGTCAAAATACTATGTACTCTTAAACGTTTGTAATTGCCAGTTCCTAATTCTCATACGTATGATATGAGGTGTATATTTGATGAGTATTTAAATTAGATACATTAACTTTTCAAAGACAAATTATAATTTTCGATTGTATGTAAACAGGTGTTGCAATGTCGTTTATGGTGAAGAAAAAACGTTATAAGTTTACAGTAAATCTGTGTTTGGAAGACCTGACAGCTGTGCCTTTTGTTAACGCTGTCCTGTTTGCCAAAGTACGATTACTGGATGGTGGAAATTTTAGTGATACCTCCTCCAGGTAATTAACATTCAATTGAATTTTTTATCATTTAAACGAGTATCTTAATTTTTATATAATTATTATATAAATTTGATAGTATTGTTTTATTTATTATAAGTACAAACGCTATGAGGTTTATGGTGATAATTGTCGTACACTGCAAACCTTAAAATGTACAACAAATCACAATCGTAATAAAAAAAAAAAAAAACGATAAGATTGCTGCTAGAGAACCGATTAATTTGAAAGTAAATGTATACAATTACATTATTTATATGGTTTATTACAATTAGTACTAATCATGGATAATCAGCAACTCGTTTATGTTTCAGAAACACATAAATTTAAAGATTTGTTAAATTAGGTAGTTATTACTAATATAGTTTATGTTCTAATTTTAATCAATATTTCCTAATTGACATTGTTATCAGTATATTATGTAGTTTGTTTGTATGTTAAAATGTGTATGTAACATGATTATTGTTAGGTTTTCATAATGTGTTCGATTATGTTGACATTGTTGTATAAATTAATTAATAAATATGATGCTATTAGGCCAAATACGTTCAAGACAGTTAATTATATCTATAGAGTAGTTGATGACTTGGAGAATTTTATAGCTGATATGACATATGTTAAACTTATGTTTTATAGTTTTGCTAGCAATACATGAATAAATATTAAATTATTCATTTGATTTTGCTCGAAATGATCCATTTTGAGTTTGAATTATTTTGTACTAAAGTAATAAACTGTAGAAAAGGATTTATATTTTTGTTAACACGACTAATACAATAATTTTGTGGTGCTTGGGTAAAAGGTTTTAAGTACAAAAATAGGGTTAAATATTTTATAAGGGATGATATTTTAAAATATTTTTCTCATGTAAAAGTATTTTATACAACTATTTATTATTTATATACTAGTTACACATTTTATCTTTATTGTAAAATAGTTATTTAAATGAAAATATTATTCTCAAGTTGTATTCAAAGTTTAAATTTAATTTTACCAAAATTAGTTATTTTGAAGATAAGACCTTTTACTCAAACACCACAGAATTAGAAATTATGGTTATGGGTTGAAAACGATTGTCCAGGTGTGTACTTTTACATTGTCCATTGCTGAGAACCAGTTTATTCATTCCCAGCTACATTATTAAAATTCAAAGAGGCCAGTGATCATCCTGTCTCCAATATTATGGTTTTTACATAAAACATTTAAATTGATGACACATTTTTAATTCAGTCCTAATATTTAAGTATACATAAGTCTAAAAATTCAAAGTTCCTGCTAACTATAATTTAGATTTACATAGTAATATTATTATCCTAACATCGATACTACATTGATTACTTGATACTAATTTTCTATGGCAACCTTCCCTTAATCTCGATCATCAAGTTTCTTAAGTTGTTGCTTCGTATATACATTGAGCTCGATTTGCCTATTTTCGGCCTTTGCTGCCTTCCCAAAAAGCAGGTTTCTTAACAAATTTTCTATTCTTGGTGGGCTGTTAGTCGTGTTGTTTGAGAAAAAGATGACAGCTTTTAATTCACTCGACAGTTTCTCGCCTAGCTATAACGGAGACCTCGTGATCAAGTATTGAACTGAGAGGTGGTAGTGAGTGTTAAACACTATCCTCTTACTTGAGTTATATCTTCTTGGTCACTAGTACTGCTTTAATCAAGTCTTTTAAAACTGTTGTTACTTAACCAAGCCAGTATTAGCTTTGTCTAGCAAATAGGTCATTACTTATTTAGTTTGTTGATTGGTATTTTCGCATTAAGCTTTCTTCTGCTTTGTATAGTCTTCTGGGAAATTCTCTTTCAAAATTTTGTTATAAGTCTTTGCCTCAAGAATTATACTGAATATTTTGCCCATCGCGTCATAATACTTACAATATAATGATAGCTTAGTTAAAAAATGTTAGTACATTTGGGCCAAAATGTGTTTACTGTATAATCTACTGATATAAAATGGAAAGAATTTTTTTGTAAAACCTTATTTAATAAATTAGTCCATATTTCAACCTTTTTAAAAGTGTAAAATGATATGAAGGGCTGCGGAGAAAAAAGATCAATGTCAATTTTTTACATTCTGAGAAAATCATGTTTTTAATTTCAAAACGTAATACATTTTGCCGGTACGCGTAAACTTCCGGCGGTCGTTACTCTTGACTAATCTATTTTTTTCCCTGGTTCGAACGCATAAAAGATACAATACATCAATACAAATAATTTGATACCAAAATCTCATTTAAAAAAAAAATTGACATTGATCTTTTTTCCCCGCAGCCCTTCATATGTTCTGTAATCACATGTAATGGAGATACTTGAAAATGCTCTTCTGTAAAATTGTCATTTTGTACATACAACATTTTTGAATAAGTCATTAGTAAGTAGCATATTTTTTTAAATTTTAAGTTCCACTTAATTACAAATAGTGTAATATAGTAGTAAACAATAAAATTAATTTATCAAAAAAAAAGACAAAAATTGTAATTCCATTGTTAGATAATGTTTAATTTTCCTATGACTTATATTTATCTAGGTCTGTTAAGGATTCTTTAATGGATGTTTTTACATGAATGAAATACACTCATGTTTTAATTAAAATTCCTATCATAAAATAAATCTTTTTTAAACATCTTTAAAGTAATTAGCCCTTAGTACGATTTTTTATTAGGTATATTTTATTTTATTACCCTAATTTATTACGGCTCAACGGGAATGGGCCAGTTCTACTTGCCCCCTGAGCCAGTTCGTTCTTGTTAAAAATGTTCAAGGAATGTGTAATTTTTTCAATGTTACAATGAAACATTTAAAATGGCTGAAATATTTAAACGATAAAATAATGTACATAATATGTAAATAATAACGATAATTTTAATTTTTTTTGTCAGTTACTCAATTTAATATTTATGCTTAACAACATAAAAAAAGTATATATGTACACTGTGAGTGTAGTGTGTAACTAATAAAACACATGTTTGTTTAAACACGAGGTTATAGTAATCCAGTAGTGCTAATTTAAGTGTTTTTGACATAACATGGAATTTTATGTCGTGGCGTGTGTGAAAATTATAAATTAAGAAATTTATGTAAAAAAATATAACTACATTTTTATTTTAATTAAAAAGTAAGTGTTATGTCTCCTATGAGTTTTTTACATTAGACCATAAGTCATAAAACACATTAGTTTTTTGGTAAATATTCGAAATCTAAAAAGGACATTTTAACATTGTGTTTTTTTTAATTTCACATTATTTACCACCATGTTATATATTTTTAACAACTTTATAGTTGATTTATTGAAAATTGTTGGCAGTTTATTATTAAGGTATAGAAACATTGATTGGGGAGCCAATGCTTACCCTGCCATTTCCCCTTCCGCCATATAGTGACCTTGAGTCATAAATAGCCTAATACTAGTTGCAAAATTACGACTTTCATAATGAAGCAATTAGACACTATATAAAAAAAAAAATACTAACAAATATTATTTTTTTTATAAGTAAAATTAACCATAGATTTTGATAAAAATAATATAATTCAATTTGAAAAAAAAATTGTAATTTGTAATGCACAATTTTTTATAAATTGTTCTCAATAAAAATCGTGTTGCCATTCGTTTTGATAGGTACCACTGTTTAACCTATGTTAATAGTTTTTCAGTTGACCAATGGCTCTGAAATTATCAACTTTATGTATACCTATAACATATAAAATATTAACTATGGCCTCCAGAGTAAAATTATTGTTACAAATACGTTGCCTCTCGCCTATTATGGATGGAATTTTAAAGTTATTTTGTTAAGTTTTATGGTCATTTTTAAAAATATATTCGACTAAAATGACGACATATTTTCAGAACTCGTTATTCAATTTTAATTATGGAATATCAGTCAGTGTATTATGTAAGTGTAACTTATCGAGTGTACACGTATGTATAGTTATTATAATCTACAAGGTATGACGTTTTATAAACAAAAAAATACCAGGCATTTCGAATTACCTGCAAATATAAAATCGTTGACGTGTACTCTGACAAATTACAGACTAATAATAATAATAATGTTACCCGATAACCGCGCATGATAAACATTTTTCAAAGCAGTAATATTATGGTTGTTGTTTTTGTTAAAAAATACAATATAATATAACGTTGAAAATATAACTTTGTGTCCTTAGTTATTTGTAGCTTGCGGTGCTTAATTGATGTAGTTGTTATTACACTTACTTATTTTTTTTTATAATATATTTTCCTTTAAAACTAAGAACATATTATTAAAGGGATTAATATATAAATTATTATTAGATTAATGTAATAAAATGATTATAGTTTTGTAATCCTCGTAGACTGTAGGCATAACTGATAATAGAAATAGAGTAAAAAAACTGAGTTAATCTAAATTATGTATTATATAGGTTTAGACTTTAGTATTCTCTATGTGAACATCGATACACGAGAAAGGAAAGTAGTATAGGTTGAAGGAATATACTTTTTATTTTATTTTGTTCACTTAATATTCCACAAGTATTAGTCGCTTTTGCGGCAACTGGAAGTAAAAGTTGCGTCCGTATTATTTTGCCATCCTAATTGTAAAACTTTTAGTTTTTTATTTTAGGTATAATTAATACAGACTTAATATAGACATTATTAAGTTTATGGAAAAATGATGTCGAAACCCGGAACTAAATTTTGTAAGGTTTGTTGCAAATCACGATCAATATCTCTAATAATTCCGATTGTCTAGATGATAGATCAATGATCTACATTGAGATCAAGCTATGTAATCTATATAATATATTACACTTTTTAACAATAGTAAGATTATTCACAATAAATGTGTCTGTTTATTCTTTGCCAGTCGTCAACACGTATTCTTGTCTGTGGTCGTGAATTGCTATTTATTTTTTAGTTTACATTTTCAGATTTTCCGATTTTTTTACACTATGATGCAAGGTTAAAATATTTATATACATAATTCAAGCTCATGCGTAGGCCGATAATGG